CTCATGGACCTTCTTCAGAGTATGGTGCGTGATATACTGTCCTGATCGAAGGAAATTCCGATATTAGCTGTAAACAAGTATCCCGGACATCTAGTTTGAGTAGCCGCATTGGTTTACCGCAATCAATAGCAATAAATAAACACCATTAGCAGCCAGCCTTAGTTTGGAGAATGCCTGCAAACGGGATATCAGCATTCGCTTATCGTTGCGATAAGCGACTGTGCTTTGGGTGTAAAACAACTCATGATCTGTTGTACCTTCGGTATGATCACCAATGCATGCAGGAAACAACCTATTTTAGAAGCAACCTGCCAACAGCAAATACGAAAAATTCAATTCACTGACATGCGGATGCTCTTTGCCGATGTCCGTCAAAAGCTGAGTGATAAGGCGATTGACAAGATGCCGAGTTGTGTCAATACGAGCGATCAGCTGCGTAATCACTTGCAACCAGGTTTCGATCTTGACTGTGGCGATGCCTTCCATTAGCGCATCATACACTTCTGGATTTTGGCCGTAGTCAAACCATAGTGTCAACAAGCGCAACGTTTCCTGCAAGCTGTTTCCGCTGCACAATGCAACGCTTCGGAAAAAGCATCTGACGGCTTGCACAGCGTAGACGGTGATGAGATTTTCGTTCTGCTGAATACAAAACCAGCCGTAAAATGTGCATCAACGAAGGAACATAAAAGAAGACTGAATCCTACTAAACTGCACCGAGGAGAATACTTGGAAGAATCGTCTGGCGCTTCTACGCCAGTGGCAGCCGATTTCTGATGGGCGCTCTTCTGCTTATAGTACAATACGGCGTTGAAGTTGGTACAAGCAAGGGCGTGCCAAGCCTTGAACAAGAACTAGCTTGTGCGAAAGATACTTTTACCATGCAAAAGATGCACATACCTTATACATGTCCTTGTCAAATTCCGTTGCTTTTCTGTAGTACAGCATCACTTGTGGCAGAGGCGGCTCATTTTCAGGACAGTTCATTTCCGTCCAGTGGCCCAATCGCAGAAAACACCTAGCGCATATTATCTAAGTGAAGCCACATGTCACTCCAAATGAATATACTTCGCTTTAAGACGCATCAGATCCTTCTGCATCTGTTCATGTGAATGTTTTGGCAAACCTAATTTGCATGTACTTTCAATCAGCAAGTTCAGCTGCGAAATGGCCAGATCCTCAAAAATCAAACATAAATTGAAGTTTTAGTCTGAAAGATCAAAACCTTCGTTACCTTTCTCCCTTCGCAATACAAATGTTTACAGTAAGCGTATGTTAAATCAGGCTTATGCAGCGGTAGAGTGAATTCCTCAGACTTGTTCGGATCGTAGTGTAAGAGCAGCACCAAAGTCCCATGCGACAAGGCCTAAAAATACAATCCTGAAACACGAATGGAAAACTG